GTGATTCAAAGTCATGCACCAATCGATAGCTACATGAATCTATAAACAATGCACTAATCGATCCCAAATCACATATTTTTTTCTTTTATTTCCCTAATCTAACCCATAAGAACTTGAACTGGGTTTTGATTAATCACCTTTAGATCGCCTTGATCGTAGGAAGGATGATTGATCAGGAGCACGATTCATCGAAGTGCTAGCCTCCTTCCGCCAGAGAACAAGAGCAAAACCCAGAAAAATCACCGTCGCCGAGATCTATCCTCAGAAACATCAACGACGACGAAGAAACGACATTCGCCGTGGAAGAAGATAGAGGAGAATCGCCGACTGCTTCAAGAAAGAGACGATAATCAAGTTCTGAATTTTTTCTTTTTTTTTGGGTCCCAAAATCAAGTAAATGATTAATTTTTTAATTTTTTTTTTATTATATGAGACTCTAAGAATTCACTGTTAATGATAGCCTTATATATCGGCCTTCTTGTTGTAATAAAATATTAATTATATTTTGTTATGAAATCTATAATGCTAAAAAAATATTAAAATTAGTATTGCCCGGTGATTATCTCTTAGACTTTTAAAAAAAAAATTAGTTGCAACTAATCACAAAGAGAATAATTAAATTATGGCATTATTCTCTTAGTTTTTCACATTCTAGGCGATAATTCTATTCTTATGCCAAAAAGAATATGCTATTGTGCTTTTATCTCCATCTCTATAAATAAAGCTATAAACCCTAACAATAAATCTTCAACAATCATCAGCTCAGAGAAAACGAATTTTTCTGGATCTTGAACAACTTGTTGGTAATCACTTCATCTCCTAATATTTAATCATAATTTCTAAATTTATGCATGTACATCAATTTTTGTTTGCAATTATTACAATTAGATGTTTCAACACGGAAACAAATTTGTTCAATGAATCATGAATGTTGCATGAAGAAAACCATGTAACATGATCTTTCTGTGTTAATGTTTTTTTATCACAATTTTTTCAGTATAAGTCTCTAATCCCCAAATTTTTTGGAGTAGTTTGTTGTTGATTGATTTTTTTTGTTCCTTTATGTATAAAAACGTATATAAACAAAATACTTTCCCTACTCAAAACATCAAACTACAATTGTGTTTCTTTTTTTGTTACAATAACTTTCTCTATATATTGTAACAAGCTTTGTTCACTTGTTTTGTTTTCAGGATTAAGAGAACACGAAAGACTCGACATGACTAACGAAGAGAAAGGAAGCATCTTAAAGTCTCTTGATGGTGCTAAGGTTCAATGTTACCACATCAAGGCGGTTGTAATCTCTGGTATGGGTTTCTTCACTGACTCATACGATCTCTTCGTGATATCTCTCATCACGAAACTCCTTGGCCGGATCTACTATCAGAAACCCGGCTCTTCCTCTCCCGGAAGCCTTCCCGACGGAATCTCCGCGGCCGTGAGCGGTGTGGCCTTCGCCGGAACGTTTCTTGGACAGCTTTTCTTCGGGTGGCTCGGTGATAAGCTCGGCCGTAAGAAGGTCTACGGGTTAACTCTTTTGATCATGACCTTCTGCTCCATTTGTTCTGGTCTTTCCCTTGGAACGGACGCTAAATCAGTCATGGTCACGCTCTGTTTCTTCCGGTTCTGGCTAGGGTTTGGTATCGGAGGTGACTATCCCCTCTCGGCTACGATCATGTCTGAGTACGCTAACAAAGGTACTCGCGGTAGGTTTATAGCATCGGTTTTTGCTATGCAAGGGATTGGGATCGTTGTTGCGGGATGTGTTTCTTTAATTGTCTCGTCTATTTTCGAGATGAAGTTTCCGTCTCGGGCCTATATGTTGGACGGGGCGGCCTCGACCGTCCCCGAGGCGGATTACGTATGGAGGATTATCTTAATGATCGGGGCTATACCGGCTCTCTTGACTTACTACTGGAGGGTTAAGATGCCTGAAACCGCTCGTTACACGGCTCTAGTGGCCAAGAACGCGGAGAAAGCGGCCGCGGATATGTCTAAGGTTCTCCACGTAGAGATTGAAGCTTCTTCCGCGATGCATGACCAAGCTAGGGTTTCCGAGGACGAGTTTGGCTTGTTATCCAAGAAATTCTTACACCGCCACGGACTCCACTTATTCGGAACAGCCACTACTTGGTTCCTCCTCGACATTGCTTTCTACAGCCAAAACTTGTTCCAGAAGGACATTTTCACAACCATCGGTTGGTTACCTCCGGCTAAAACCATGAACGCAATCCAAGAGCTCTTCTTGATCGCTAGGGCTCAATCCTTAATCGCTATTTGCAGCACCGTTCCTGGTTACTTTTTCACCGTATATTTCATTGAAAAAATGGGACGGTTCTGGATTCAGGTGATGGGATTCTTTATGATGACTGTTTTCATGCTCGTTTTAGCCCTACCGTACCACCATTGGACATTACCTCATAACCGGATCGGGTTCGTGGTTCTCTACTCTTTGACGTTTTTCTTTTGCAATTTCGGACCTAACGCAACTACTTTCGTTCTCCCGGCTGAGATTTTCCCGGCGAGGCTTCGGTCTACTTGTCATGGGATCTCGGCAGCTTCCGGTAAAGCTGGTGCAATGGTTGGTTCGTTCGGATTTGCTGCATTGGTTAAAACTGTTGGGTTGAAGACAACGTTGTATATCATGGGAGGAATCAATATGGTTGGCTTGTTGATCACGTTTCTCTGTATTCCGGAAACTAAAGGTAAATCGCTTGAAGATCTTTCCGGCGAAACTGAGCCGGAGAAAATCCCTGAGAAGATTCAGGCTTAGATCTTTTCTTTTTTTTCATAATTATCGTTTTTGTTAGGATTTTTTCAGTTTAATCATTTTTTGTTATGGATCTATTTGTTTAGATTTTATTGGTATTATTATCCCTATCTACTATTTATGATGTTTGCTTTTTTATTCAGATTTACTATGAGAGTTTAGATTTATAATAAAAATTAATATTAAAAATAACTCTCCAATGTGCATCGACTACACTTCAACAATTCACTTGATTATATTTAATTATTTCTTAGTCTTCTAGATTACATGATAACTAAAATTCTTATCAACCAGTAAGTCGGAATAAATTTAGGTCTAGTTTAGATTTGTCCCAGATACTTCGGAGAAATAATTATTTCAAGAAAACCAAATAGTAAATCTAGTTTAATATTAAAAATAGTAAAGCCAAGGAGATCAATGATCAAAGATTTAATATGGTCAGCAAATCAGCGACACATCAGGAAGAAGAAAAAACCAAAGTACTTTCTCTTAAGAAAACTAAACCTCAAAAGGTTAGTTTATTTCAAAGATTGTTCCAATTTTATTCCAAACAAAAGCTCTTAATCATCTCTCACTGAGTAAACCAAGCTTGAGTAAACCGGTTTAAGAGAGGCATGAGTAAGCAAGGTCCTTCTCTTCCTTCAGTTCCTCTGCGGTCAAATCCATCTTCTTCCTCGACACTTCATCGATCGGTAAACCTGTCCACAATTACAATACACATCAGATCAATTTGTAAAAATAAAAAACAAGTTCTTTACTTTTGCAACTTTTGGTATCAGTCAGATTTTTTTTTTACCTTGAACGATAGACCACTCTCCGTTACGGCAAGTTACAGGGAATGAGTATATAAGTCCAGATGGAACGTTGTATGATCCATCTGAATACACTCCCATTGACACAAATGTGCCCTGAGAAATGGAATTAAAAAAAAACCGTTAAAGTGTTTTTAGTACGCAACAATGAAACTGATCTGAAATCAAACAGTTTGTAGTGTGGACCTCAGGGGTTCCAATGACCCAGTCGTGGATATGGTCACAAGCTGAGCTAGCTGCAGAGAGTGCACTAGACAGCTTCCTGGCCTTGATAATGGCAGCTCCACGTTGTTGAACGGTAGTGATGAACTCTCCATTCAACCTACATGCATTAGTCAAAACAAATTTCAGCATCTCATAATACCAGACTGAGACATTGCGCGAGATATTAGAAGGGTTATATAGTTTTATACCACTCGTCGTTCTTGACTAGCTCGCGCACAGGCTTCTCTCCAGAAGAAGTCTTGACAGTGGCGTGGTTAACATCTGGGTATTGGGTCGATGAGTGGTTTCCCCAGATAATCACATTCTTGACATCAGACACTGGCACGTTTAACCTCTCAGAGACCTGTCCCAATGCCCTGTTGTGGTCAAGCCTGGTCAAGCAAGTGATGTTCTTCTCTGGGATCGACGGTGCGAATTCCTTCAGGATCAATGCGTTGGTGTTTGCAGGGTTTGCAACAACCAGGACCTACAAAATGCAGAGAGAAGATATGTCTGAGCAATTCACAAAAGAACCCAATGTAATAAGTAAATCTCAGACTTGATTCTTTAAGATATGAAGTATCTCTCATAACAGAATAGTGATAAGCTATAAGAAAAGATTCAAAAGACTAATCACCTTGCAGTTTGGTGCCGCATGCTTCTCCAAGGCAGCAGCTTGAGACTTGTAAATGGAAACGTTCTTGGACATAACATCCTTCCTTTCCATCCCCTCTTTCCTTGGGAAACCGCCAACCATGACAGCAACATTGACACCAGTACACCCCTCAACAGCATCAGTTGTAGCAACGACACCTTTCACAGGAAAAACACCAACATCAGATATTCCAGCCTCGAGCAACAAACTATATTCGATCCAACGAACATTCACAGTTTTAGACTTTGATAACTCAACTTACCCTTTAGGAGAGGGAAAGCAGCATCGATCAACTCCATTTTCACACCGTTCAAAGCTTCTGCTGCGGGAGGGATATCAAGCATGTGGAGGATCACAGGCTGGTCTGCACCAAGCATTATCCCTCTTGCAATCATAGGGACAAGAGCATATCCGATTTGTCCTGCACATTCACCACTGTCACTTCAGTAGCAGAAACACACTTCAAGACGACTACAAACACAAACTACATCATTCTCAATCGCCAAACTAAGGTTGCAAAATCATACGTAACCCCAAAATGACAAAAATCCCTTGGTATATCAGAAACTTCTTCACATAATTCACCGAAAATGATAATTTCTTCAAGACAATAATAGATCTCACACACTCAATACAGAAACACACTTATCCAAAGCGAAATTTCAGATCGAATAGATTTCTATTCCCAGATCTCACTGCATGACCTAAAAAAACTAGACTCCTATCAACGATTCATCGATCGAGTAACTTTTTCCGATTAGCAAAAACTTGGTACTACGTAGAGAGATCTGACGACACGAATAACTTAACTGGAGATAGAATACACTAAATCGAAGAAAATATGAAGTTACCTGCAGCCCCTGTAACAAGAACACGAACTGGTTCCTTCGCCATCGGATCGTGATCGGAAAATTTTCGCCGGAGAAAATGAAAAGGATTCGGAGTTTGTCTAGTGAAGCTGGCTTCTGGATGTATGTATAGGTGATGAGCTCAGATCCCATGGTGTGATGCCACGTCATTTAATTATCTCGAACGAATAATACAATTCAAATGGGCCAGTTCTTCTAAGAGATAAATAAAGCCCAAATAATTCAAACCCATATATATAGTGTAAGCTTACAGGCCCTAATGATTATTGTTTACTTTTTCTTGGTTTTTTTTTTTGGGATTTAGTTTATTTTATAAGTTCAATGTATTAAAATACTAAACCCCTAGCTGTCATTGTAGAAAATGCATGTCATTATATGTTTGACACTGTTATTGAAGAAAAGGTCTAAGAAAAAAATAATATACATCATTACGCAAAATTGAGAAATCCGAAAATTTACATATATAGTATTTCTTCTAAATTGTGAGACTTGTAATGAAAAAAAAGGAAGAGCATAAAGCTACATGAAAAAAAAAATATCAATTTTCTTAAATGCTATTTGCCGGTGAGAGTCAAATCAACAAAATTCAATAGCTAATATAAGTTGCTTACGGAACATTTTTTTTGATATTTTTAGATGTTAAAACAGAACAGTCATTCAAAAATCCAACTAATGTTATAAATATAAACAAAA